AGGTTTAAAACTTATACGTAATTAACGTTAATGAAGAGTAAAGTTTCGCTGATATAAAGTCTCTAAGTAGCAAAATGGGTATTGAAAATTTTTTTGATCAATTTGATTGGCTTATGATCAACCAATCATATGAATGCCTTTCTATGAGTACAGGTTTATCAAAAAAACGAAAATTTTAACGTTAATAACAATTACTAGGTTGAATCATGATTAGAACTTTGTTACTGGAAACAGTCTTGATTTTGATTTTGATTCTTACTATACAAGTGCGTTATGCATTTGGAATTTATGCAGATCAAGTTGGAGTAAATGATTGGTATTTAGATTTTGTTTAAGAATTTTCATGGAAGCAACAATTTTCAGTTTTTTAAATTGTAATCACACTTCATAGGCATCAACAACATATAGGTACACCAAAATACTCCTTTTTCCATCGGCTTCCAGCTCGTGGGACCACAATTTTAATTGCTTCCGATAGTAATGTGATAGCTTCTATAACACCTCGTAACGGGAATATTGGTTAGCAAAGACGTGATTTCTTTATCCGATTTCATTAATTTATCTATTAAATAAATTGATTATTAATAGAGTGGCGCCAAGTTCTCGAAGGTGAAATTATATTGGCCTTCAAGGGTCACAATGACAGTAAGTACCGAATTTTCACGGATCGTATTGCCTTTACAGTTAAATAATATAACTATTGTTGTAATAGCCGTGATTTCTGTATCCGAACGTGATGGGTACGTTGTTCGGCTTTGGGAAATTCAGACTGGATTTATGCTTTGGGAAAAAAAAATAAAACCTGCCGGACTTGGTCGTACAAATTCGAGAGGTGACGAAATTTATGCACAGAAGGTAGATGTTGTGTTTACTATGGACAACATGGGCGTAGTTGTACTTGTAGGTGGATATACTATTGTAAACTTTGATTATACTGATGGTAGACAGATCTGGAGATCGGATCTGGCAGAAAGGTATCTCTATAATTTTGGATAATTTTGGATAGAGTTGCATCCAATTCATGCCATTATTTATATTTTTTGTTTTTATATGAATTTAGTCCTACGCTTTTTCATAAGCTCGTCGGATATAATAAAAATGTATATGCTGTTGGACTCAAAAAGTCTCCCAAGTCTTATTCCATCGAAGTATTAACTTTCGATGTTCAGACTGGGGTTTTGAAATCGACATCTCTTTCCTCACAAATTGGCAATATTAAAGATACGATCGTAGTAGGTGGAAGATCAAACTCTGGATTCATTGTTTGGAAAGAGGGTCAATATATACGTGTCAATCGTTTGGGTAGTGATTCTATTGAACAATCTTCGCTAGAGGTAATCATGATGTTATATTTAATACTTAAGCTTTAGTGAAAAATTCTAACATTCTATATGTTGATTTTTGAAGTCACTTTACCGCAACGTTATACCATCATTTTCTGGTGTTGCTAGAGATCTTGAACTTGTTAATCTCAACATAGATTCGAGAACTGAATTTCTTATTCAAGCGCCTACAACGAATGGCAATTCTGCTGCTGTGTTCAAGGTAGACTTGGAAAATGGCCGGCTAATAGCGCTCTATGATTTAGGAGAGAGGGTAATTTTTAATTTCATTTATAACATTTTATTTTAATGTGAATGACGAGATTATTTATTTGCTTTTTTAGGCTAGTACTTCAGTTTATTCTGGTGCCCTTGATAAAAGCGAACGATTAATTGTATCTAGAATTATAATAGTATCCAAGGTAGTTTCATTAATTGCACAGTCATGCTCGAGTTATTATGACAGAGTTAATGCATGAGACGGTCCTTTAATAATTTTTTTTGCATACATTAACATGCTTTCAATAGGATCTCGTTAAGGTTGAAATTTTTGCGCCTGCTCATCGCTTAGCATTAGGAAGTCATGAAATTTCTTATTCCATGGCCGCTTCTGGAGGCATAACGAAAGTATGATTTTTGATACAATACATAGCAGCTATTTTTATTTTGTTTAATTTCGCTCTCAGTTCTAATTTTAATTTATAGTCACTACTCGATGTTACTACAAAAAAAAATAGTCAAACTACAGCTGTGGCTTATCGCATGCTCGTAACTTCTGATGATGGTTCTGTTCATTTTTTTAAAGAAGATAGCATTGCTTGGAACAAGGAAGAATCTCTCTCACACGCCATAGAAGTAGAGTTTCTCGATTTACCAGAGAAAAAGTTATGGACTCAAGAAGTCGACGAGCTCGGTATGAAATTCGGAATTAAAATTATTTATAACAATAGCGCTTTATATCCTACATTCAACTAATTAACATCGGAATATAGATGAACAATCGGAAGAATCAGAAACTATCTCGCCTTTAACTAGATATTTTCGGCGATTGATAAATCATATCGAGCAACTTAAGGTTCACTTGCATATTATATTTGGATCATGAATATAATGATTGATTAGAAATTAATATTTGCTCTTTTTTTTTTTTTTTTTTATAAACATGAATAAATTTTATTTAGGATTTTCCTGATTACCTGATTACTTATGTTCAACGATTTGCTACTGGCAATTATTCAGTTGACCCATCGCCGACGTCTAAGGCAAAAACGAGCTTATATAGGGATACTTTTGGTTTCCGTAAACTGTTAATTTTCGTGACTCGAACGAAACTAGTGGCTTTAGATACTAGTAATAAAGGGCAAATAGTTTGGTCTCGGTATTTCGGTGGCATTGTATCCGAATTTCAGAAAATATTTGTCGTTAGATCATCTACTGTCAAATATCCACCCGTTGTCGTTGCGATAGGGATACAAAAAAAAACCGACGTATGTAATTGTTCAATATGAATCAAATATTCGCTTGATAAATAAAGAAAATCATTCAATCAGCTATTTATTTATTTATTACTCTTTAATAATAGAAAAGCAACATAACCTGTCTTTTCAGATTAAACGCACTTACTGGGGAAGATTTTATTACGGATCATGAAATATACACGCCTACAGACAATAATATCTCTTTTAGTATTCCTACAGTCGCTCGTCGAATTTTTAAATTGCCAGTAGAAGAACCTGATGAAAGAACTCATATAATTGCATTGCTAGATGAAGATTTAAAGGCAAGGTTAATGTTATAATTTGTCGTGCTTTCTGAATACTTTTTATAATATGATTTATAACATCAATTTTGCCTATAATTATATATTTTTATAGCTTCACATCTATCCAAATCATAAAAGCTCATTAAAAGCTTTCCAAAAGTTTGCAGCATCATTCTATTTTGCATTATCCGATGGTATTGGTAGTAAAAGCTTGAAAGGATATAGCGTTGCCATTGATAAAGTTTCACAGGTTTGAATTATATACAATTTTTATTCTGCATTTCGTAAAATAGCACTTTATATTCGCACGTTCTATTAATTACTTTAAGAATAGCCTTTCAATATTAATAGACTTTGGGAACTTAATTTTCCAGAAGGAAATAATATTGTGGCAATTGGACATAGGCCTAGTCATGGTAACAAAATTTGTTGAACTATTCTGGCTTAGTAATATTGTTCTAATAAAATTTTTCGTTTCACGCATTAGAGAAAGTCGCCTCTCTAGGTAGAGTTCTCGGTGATCGTTCAGTTCTATATAAATACCTTAATCCACATATAGTTGCCGTTACCACGTCGTCTCCTTCAACAAAATCTCTCGATTTCTACTTGATTGATATTATTAAGGGATCTATATTATATCATACCGTACATGACAATGTTAGTCCTTCACATCCTGTACAAATTATTCAAGTTGAAAATACAATTGTGTATCACTTTTGGAACGAGGAACAAGAGAAGGGATATAAAGTGGTTGTATGCGATTTATACGAAAGCAAAAAACCGGATGAAAGATTTGATACGTATGTTTATGTTATAAAATCCATTAATAATAATTCACAATAATATAACGTGCTATTTTTTATTTTTTTTTTTAGTCACAACTTTACTTCATTTGCGAATGAACGTCCGTATGTAAACGCTCAAGTATTCATGTTCCCTTATGGAGTCAGGACTATTGGTGTTACAACAACTAAGAATGGCATTCCGATACGAGAATTTTTATGTATGTCTCTTAATATATTGCATAGATTTATAAGCCATTACTTTTATCATTTTAACAAATAAATGTATTTGTAGTTGCGCTGGATACAGATCAAGTTTTCGGTTTACCTAAAAGATTTCTTGATCCACGAAGACCACAACGTGCTCTAACGAATGAAGACAAGGAAGAAATGCTGATACCTTATGAACCAGCGATTTCTGATAATAAAAAGTTTATTTTAAGTTATAACCTACCGGTATATAGTGCTCCTGCGCTAAATTATTTTATTTTTTTAAATTTTACTCATTAAGATATTCTTGTCTAGATTTACGGAATTCGTCATATTACAACATCACCTGCTCTTTTAGAATCAACCTCACTTGTACTTGCATATGGTTTAGATTTGTGGTTTACGCGAGAAGCACCTTCCAAAACCTTTGATGTTCTAAGCGAAGACTTTAGCAAGGGAACATTATTAGCAACCATTTTAGGATTGGTTATAGGAATTCTTGTAACAAAACCATCGGTATGCAACAATAGTCCTATTAATCGTTTTTAATAAATTGTCACATTTTTAATATGTTTTTTAATAGGTTCGACGAAAAAACATTAATTCGCGATGGTATTAAGGTAATGATAAAGGACAATTAAAATGATCTACAACTGTTATTGAATAATTTATGGGATACGATGAACATGTTTCCCTAAAAAATTAAAATTCATTAATATACGCGAATTTGATATGAAAGTTGTATGGGTCCTACTTTTAAACATGAAAATCAGAACTTTAAATCCTTTGTTTATGCTACCTGACACAACTAAAGAATTTAGCATTATTTGCAAAAATTCATACAGTCGGACCTCCCTAAATGCATAGACTAGGGGTTGGACCCGGGTAGAAATTGTTGATATATTATCATAATAAATTACCCGGATAACCCGGGTAATTTAATAATACCCGGGTAGGGATTTTCTCAACGGGTCCAACCTCT